TTGGTTGCTGGCCAGCCTGGCCATGCAGATTTACGCTTCAAAGCAACATAAAGCCATCTCAAAGTGTCAGCGTGATGAGACTGCCCGAAAAACATTTTGAGCCAAACTGCACGCGCACAAGCTCGCGCAAGCACGGCGCAAGCACGGCGCAAGCCCCCGACTCGAGATGAAGGAATATTGGACAACCCCCATATACGGATAATGGAAAAGAAAATGGAAACTACTACATTAATCGAATATAGATATGGTAGGTTATATATTGGGGTGAAAGTAGGTAAGAGAGCACCCACGCAAACCGGCGCCATCACCAGCAGGGAAATCTGAGGAGACAAGGGTGGTCATGGCGCAAATGAGAAACCGTCACGGGGTGTTCACATACTCCGTAACTGCGAAGGTGACGAGCTCAGCGAACTCCTTCTCAAATTGTGTTATTGTTAGTGCTAGTCTGCATTTCCATTTCCGAATACAAGCACGCATGGGCAATGCTACAATCAGCAAACACTGCAATTCAGTCCATTCCCCTGGCCAGTCGCAGTGGCGCCACGGATCATTGCTCAAGCAAATTCATTAAAAAAAGCATAGATGAAGAAGAGGAAGTCACAGCCTTCTGTGCTGTCTTGCTTCTCAAGAAATCGGAGAAGAATCAGGTCCAGGAATGAAGCATTCATGCAAACAGTGTGCTTGTTGCGCTGCGCTGACATTAGAATGTGATCGCATTGCCCATAGCGACCACTCCTGTGACAGGGTTCCACTGGCCTCCTCCGCAGAATTTGGCAACATAAATTTCAATCACAAGGCGAAGCCGTTCGAGGTTCTGGCCATAGGACCTTTGGACTATCAACAACAAAGGATTCGCTCCATTTTTCAGGTCCGCAAGTAGATACCGCAGTTGCACATGGTCAACCTGGATTCAAATCGATAGGCCGCGGGATGTTCCGCAACTGAAATCAGGGCGTTCTATTGCAGCCAGTTGACGGTTGATGCTCCTTGCCGGCCTTGTGAAGCTAGGCAGGCTGAGAAAGCTCAAGGCAGGAGCAGTTTTCAAAAACGGGAGAATGAAGCTGTTCACCATGCGCACTCAAAACATGAGTTGCAAGCAACTGCGCATGATGCTTGTCGGCAATGGCCTCGTCTCAGCAGGCACTACTCTTTCCGGGAAGCGGCCCACAGCCGTACTCCTTCTGCACATTGCGAGCAGGGCACGTCTTTTCTCGCGTGCCGGCCCTACTTCACGGACCTAGGCTCGCGTTTCCTACGAGGCCTCAAGCTCCCTGCAGCAAATGCTGCGAAAGCACATTTTCTAGCATAGAGTCCTGTGGAACATGCGCTATCCTGTGACAACTTGCATCAGATTGCACCAGCTTCTTGGGCTTGGGCGCAGAGAAGGACCTGGAATTGCCCTCTCCGTGCAACAATCCAGTCCACGCTGCAAAGCATCCAGAACAAGCTTTCATGAGCCGATGCACCACCAGGCTGTTGTCATCAGTGCTCAGAACTTGAATTATCTTGATTTGCTTGCCTTCACTGCTGCCATACCTTTGGCACTTAAATTTTTTGGTGAACGTTTCGGCTCAAGACGGTGACAGTACTGCACATGTGTCCGCATCAGCATCACAAACTGGAGGGCATAAATAGATGAAGGGGACCTCGAAACCTTCTACCGTAGAGCTTCCTGAGTACCGGCTTGCCGAGCAACGGTTCCACCGCTCAGGATGACGCATGTGCATCCTGCGGTGGAGGCTACTCCAACATATCCAACAGGCAGTCACCTCAGCACCAACCCCTCGACGTACTGTGCGGGGTTGGAAGAGTCCTTCCACGAGCAGCGCAGCTGAGCTGCAACATGTTGAAGGTATCACGGTGCCAGTCGGCGCTAACAGTGCACGAGGCTCTCCAGCTATGAGAAGAGACCCCATAGTTTTGGGCCAATGCCGCACAAATGCATGTCCATGGCAAGCGGGCGCTCGTTGTTTGGATCCACCAGAATCTGATGGATGCAGAGGACGAGAGCTTCCCCGCCACACATGGGAGCTGCGCAGATCTGGCCGCACGGACCGTGGGGCGGGCCCATGCGGGCCCGACAAGAAAAGACAAGACGGACCAGCTCGATGTGGAATTTGACTCGGGCCACACAACTGGGAGTGTCTAGAATACCTTGGTTTATAGCTATACTGACAAGCAGGATAATTCCTCCGCAGATTGCACTTGAGGCCAAACCAGTGGCTCAGCCAACGTTGTCCAACTGCGTGGCCACAGCTTGATTAAGTCAGTCGGTCCTGCGCACTGGAGGCACGTACATCACCAAGATCGAGATTGTCGTGGATGCTGGTTGGCGAACTGCCATGGGACGAAAGGCATCGAAACTTCCGGGTGACGCGATATCAAATCATGATTTCGCCTCCAACTTCAGTGTGCCTCCCAAGTATTCACAAGTATTGATGCCACATTCAGTTCTCGAGGGGCATGCGCTTCCTTGTGCATTTTCTGACGCAAATTGTCGCACCAAGAGCCCCTGAAAAACTGCCAGAGTCAAATAGGTACGCTTTTCTCATCTGCGCTTCGCGAATTGCAGCATGCTGTGGCATTCAAAGCCTTGTCTACGTGCAAGTGCAGTCATTGTTGTGCAAGTGGTTTGAGACAACCAGAGCAACTTTTTCGCTTTCGATTGCAGATGGCACTTCTTGGAATCACCGCGATGAGAGGCTTGTTTTCTAAGCTGAGCACACAACACATCAACATATATCAACAAGGATGCTTGCTTCAGCCATTCCTTGTTTTGCTGACTCGCAAAGTTTCCGCTACCGCATTGCTGTGATGAAGTGTTGCCATGAGGTTGTGTTAGATTTGCTTGGAGCGCTGAAGAGACTGCGCCGACGAATTTGTGCAGAAGCAAAGCTGTGGTGCAGGGAGCTTTCAACACAATTTTGAAGGGGTTTCAAGGGTGCAGTGTCCTGACCGGGAGAGGGAGCATGTCTTGGGCACTGCTGTCACTACATTTGAAATTGCTTGCTGGAAGTTTCGTCTCGAGATTGAGCCCTCACAGCAATTGTGTGGCCATGAGCATGAGCATCAGAGACATGCCGCAAGAAATAGGTGAAGGGGCAGCTCAAAACCTTGACCGGAGCGCAACTCAGTCAGCGCCAGTGAAGCCATTGGCCAATCCAT